AGATCCCTTTCTTTCCTAGCACACAAAACAAGGACGGAGGGACTTCCATCACACTTCCTAACGAGATTCAAAAACGGCACTTTGACATTACCTACTTAATTTCACAACCGTAAACAAAACAACCCCCACCAATAGATCTCACCTGACATTTCTTTAGACGAAGGAAACATCGTTTCGGAATAACACCAAGTGAAACCATCTGATAAAGAGGTCATCAACAGGGAACCGCTAATCAACCGATATCGATTCCCCGTCCTTCGCATATTTTTGTTGTGGAGCGCCATTGTCAAAGTTATAACTGGCATGCTATTACTACATACTGGACCTTTACTTTCCTGAACCACAGCAAAGCTGTTCTCGTCAAGCACGAGCTCCGTAAACAATTGGTAAGCGATTTGTTTCTGACAATATTTGTTTGCATATTTGAAACAATCGTAGAACTGGTAAAGTACCTATTCTCACTCGAAAAAGGTAAATATCGGAACCATACAAGAGATTTGAGATCGTGGAGCTCTCCGATACCCAGACCTTGATAGTGGCTCATAGTTCACGGGCTCACAAATATTTCGCAAAGGACGCAGCACCGGTAAACACCCATCAAAGGACACATTCTCCGGGCCAAAGGTTCTCTTTATGTAGCCTCTAAATGATTTTTATAGAGCCCCTAAATATGCCATACACTCATTGTTTGCACTCGCATCTCGCCTGGATAGTACACAAACGTGAATTTCATGTGAATCAGCGCAGTTAGCATCAGCAATTTACCAGCGATATTTACAATGACGCATCGCTCTGAGTCCGATAATCTGTCCAAAACCATAAACAGCTTGAAGCAGTAATCGTTAGGAAGCACGACACTAGTTGTATCACCTATCACTAGTGATAGATAGACTTTAGGAAACCTTAATTCTAGCAGAAGTATGAGCACGATTGTTCAACGAAAGATTGACAGTACTCAAAGATAAGCGGAAACGGGTGCGTGACAAGAGAACCGCTATTCGCCGCGCTGATAGGCGTTGCGTGCGACGTCGAGCCGGCAAATGACGATGGTCACAGGTTTTAAGTGGCGACAACAAGCAATGTAGAACTAAAAATAACCAGAACAGTCTTCAGTTTCGTAGCCTTCGTGGAATCCGGTGCTCCAGTCGACAGGCTAACACGAGTTAAGAAACGCCTCGCACTCACCGCGCGCGGCGGAGCGGCGTTTTACGATTCTCTTGACCGTCTCCCAGTGCAAGTCCATCCAGTGAATGTTTTCTGTCTTGTTCGAGTGTCAGTGCGGCCGGGTTTGGCGCGCCTGCAGCCCTGTCTCCATCAGTCGTTGAAGCGGGTAAAAGGCAACAGTTGGTGGAAACGGACTGATACGAACGAAGCAGTTCAGTCTTGTAGCTTGTCGAAAGAAAAAAAAAAGGAAAAAC